GCCCGGCCGGGGCCCCCGAGGGCCGCCGCTGACCATGCCCGGGCGCCGGGGGGCGCTGCGCGAGCCGGCTGGCTGCGGCTCCTGCCTGGGGGCGGCGCTGGCCCTGTTGCTGCTGCTGCTGCCGGCCGGCTGCCCGGTGCGGGCGCAGAACGACACGGAGCCCATCGTGCTGGAGGGCAAGTGCCTGGTGGTGTGCGACTCGAGCCCGTCGGCGGACGGCGCGGTCACCTCCTCCCTGGGCATCTCCGTGCGCTCGGGCAGCGCCAAGGTGGCCTTCTCCGCCACGCGGAGCACCAACCACGAGCCGTCCGAGATGAGCAACCGCACCATGACAATCTACTTCGACCAGGTCAGCCGGCCGGCCGGGCCGCCTCGCCTCCCTCCGGGGGTGGAGAGGGCGGGGGCCCGGGCGCGTGGGCTGGGGACTTCCAGGCTCTCCCTGCCTCCCCGCCCTGCCCTTGTCCTTCCTGCCTTTTCGAGTAAGCCCTCCTTGCCATTTCCCCTTTTCGCAATGTAGCTTTTGTATCACCATCAGGTCAGTTCGCACTGGGACGACTGACAGTCCCTTAAAGCCGAGAGACCTGGAATGCATTCCCCAAAAGGAAACTGCCCATTTTACTCTCCTCTGGGGTGAGGGCTGTCCTTTGGGGTGGATGGGTTTCAGCCCCCCAGGTGGCCAACTTGAGGATTGAGCGCGTTGATAACACACCCAAAGAGAGGGTTCTCGATCAGAAACTATGTGCTTATTGCTTATTGGGGGATGGTTTGGGGACAGGATGCTTATCTTCAAAAAAAAAAAAAAAAAAGTTGGGAAGAATGTGGGGGCAACGGCAGGGATGGCTATATAAATACAAAACAAAATAGAGTGTGGTCAGAGAAATGGAATAGATAGGAAATACGATACATGCATTGTAATGTGCAAATATACCCGGCCCGTAAATATTATATATAGTATGGTTCTATAGATTAAGAAAAAAAACAAGTAGGGATCAGTGACTTATGTTGCCCTAGGCCATTCCACTTCTCTTTCTAGGTTCAAAGCACAAGGGTCACTGAATGCTCAGACCTTGGCAATCCCTTCTCTGGGTCATGGGGCTCAGGATGGGGGGTTGTGACCTTCCTCCTGTGCCCTCCCGTCTTGGTTACTGTTGTTCAGAAACAAATTGAAAACCTTATGGCGGTTCCCAAACTTTACCTGCTCAGTCCCTTCCTTTTGCCCCTAAAACAGAGGGCTGGGCTCACCAGCCACACTTAATTAACTTCCTTTCTGTTAACCGATTCTCACACCCAGTAAACCTACACATACCGCTGCCTCTTTTTAGGCCAGAGTATTAATTTATGTTCATTCTTGCTAAGGCTTATCTACTTGAGGTTTGGAGGTTTGGGGGGGGGTCCGTTCTTTCGTCTGTTTTTTAAATAAAATTATTTATTTTAAAGATGTCCAGGTACAGTAGACAATAATGAAATGGGTATTTGCAACCTCTTTACACTATTAATGCATCCTTCTTTGTGCCTTATTATTAGTCATCTCCCGAAGTCCTACAAATAGTTTTCACAGCGTTGCTAATCCATCGTGTCATTTGGTGTGATGTCGGGCAAGACACGTTGTAGGAAGATTCTAATTTTATAGACACGCTAACTATGGCAGGACAGGCTAAACGATGTTTCCCTGGCTCCCCAGGTAGGGTGTACGGAAAACCTGCTTTTCTGGGCTCCTTGGGTGTCCTCTCATCTACAACAGGGCCCAAAAGTTACCAGCTCCCTGAATGTAAACGGATGGAAAAGAGTTGAGGTCGTTGAGGTGGAAGAAACAGCCCCAAGGGTTTGGAAGGAGAATGCTTTATTCTCTTATAAGGTGTTGTAAGGCAGACGGAGAGAGCACAGGCTTGAAGAGACAGACAGGCGTTGTGAAGTACAAGGTCTCGGACAATAGAGCCCGGAGTGTCTGCGTGAGCCCGGCAGGCAGGGGGACTGAGCGGTGCCCTGAGCTGTGTCGAAGAAGCTGGCTCCAGGCTTATTTCCCGAGTCCTTACGGCGCTTCTCAGGGGCAACATCCCACACGGCTGAGGGATTGCACATCATTCATCTGTGATGAGTGTGTGAGAAATAACAGCAGAAGGTGTTCAGCTGAGACTCCTTTTCTGAACAGATGACAGGATCCCTAATCTCGGGTTTTGTTGTTGCTGGCTGTCTGTTTTAAAAGCCCAAGAGCACCGAGGGGGGCCGTTTGATGATTTTAACTGAGTTGTGCATTTGTGTGTGAGTAGGAATGGGGACAGGATCCAGACAGAGTGGCCAGATTCTGCCTTAACCATCTGAAAGGGCACTGGGTCATTACGAGGGGTCCTCCACTCTTCAAAGTCTGCTTATGGCATTGTAACACCCTCATCCCCCCTTTTGTTTGAGAAAAGGCGGCTGCAGGGTCACGTGACCTCGTATCCTCCGGTTAATTTTGTCATTAGTCTTGCAGACTCCCTCCTGCAGTTTGAGCTCAGAGTATCCAACTGCTGCCTGCACACCGTTTGCTTCCTCAAGCCTTTCTGCATGACATCATAGCTCAGCCAAGGGAGCAAGCGCACGGCTCAGAGGAAAGTGCAGGGAATCAGCTGCAGCCAGGGTTTGCCTACCCCCGTGGGGTCTTCCACTGAGTACCCGAGATCCAGAACCTCTTGGGCCCTGCCACGGAGGGTGCCAGGGGCTGGGGACACGTGGGGACAAGAACTTCACACCGTCCATTCTCTCCTGGGCGCAATGGAGTGGAGTTCCAAGCTTGAGTGGCTGGAGGTTATCTCATTGAATCGGCTTTGGTATTGATGACCCCATGGCCCGGTTGTCCCCATTCAGTCTGGCGCGGCCCTCTATTTCTGCGAAACTGAACTTCACGTCGAAGTCCCCAGAATCCCACACAGGTCTGAACAGACTCCGTTTAGCTCGTGTCCTGACCTTATCGTCTTCTGTTCCTCTCCCTCGCCCTGGCCCTCACCGTGCGAAATTTGCACGCACCTTGTCAATCCACAGGCGAGATACATTTTTAAACATCCTTGTTCATTGCGGTCCATGAGGATTCTTTTCCAGCCCCTTCCCCGTGCAGGGCATTTTACCACCGGCTCCTCCCCCCGGGGGCAGCCTTGGCTTGCTGCCTAGGCGCTGGCTTGCGGCTCGGCGGCTCCTGGAGTACCTGGCGTCGGTGGGTGGTGTTGCCAGTCTGGGTAAAACAGATGCTGAGGAGGGGCTTGCCACGTTTGTGCTGTATTCCCTCTTCTCTTTCAGGTATTAGTAAATATTGGCAACCATTTCGATCTTGCCTCCAGCATATTTGTAGCACCGAGAAAAGGCATTTATAGCTTCAGCTTCCACGTGGTCAAAGTGTACAACAGACAGACCATCCAGGTGGGTAGCTTCCAAGCTGCCTGGACCCTTCCAGCGTCGGACTACTAACGCCCCGTGGCCGCAGGTCCTGGCACCCCCTCTGTGACCCCGCGCCAGCCGGGAGCCGGCTGACCCAGGGCTCCGGGCTCAGGGCCTGCCTCGCGTTCTGGGCCAGGCCCTGGCCTGGGGCTCCCCTGGAAGAGGTGGGGCGCGGGGGAGGTGAGGACAAGTGCGGGCAGGTGGGGTCCTGCACGGTCTGCTGACCTTTACCGTCTGCCCTGCAGGTCAGTTTGATGCAGAACGGCTACCCAGTGATCTCAGCCTTTGCAGGGGACCAGGACGTCACCAGAGAAGCCGCCAGCAATGGTGTCCTGCTGCTGATGGAGAAAGAGGACACCGTGCATCTCAAACTGGAGAGGGGCAACCTCATGGGAGGCTGGAAGTACTCCACATTCTCGGGCTTCTTGGTTTTCCCTCTATGAACACAGACCCCCCAGACGGTGGGGAAGTTGCGATCTGGACCCAGGCGTCTGCCCTTCCGAACACCCTGAACTTGCCAGGACAAGACCACTTGGTTCCAACCTCCTTCAGACTGTTGAGGTAGAAGAATGATTTCCTTCTAAATCTCCAGTATTTTCTTTGCATATCGGCCACTCCTCGGGAACCTGGCTTCTAATTAGTTTTAGACGACGAGGTCTTAAGGAGAAACGAATTTATCGATTTGAGCAATTTGTACCTGTGATCGTAAAGTCAATACTGGATTTTATTGTCGGGGCCGTTGACTTCTCTTCCTTTTGTTTGTACGTTGTATTGTTGCCCCACGCGAGGAGTGCCGTCGATCTCCAGGATGGATTGCAGGTCGCAGGCGGGACTCAGAGCAAGAGCCCCACGAATCACCACCGGCCGGATAGTCCTTGAAATGTGTTCTTTGTGTGTCTGTTCCGCCTTAAGGAAAAGAACGGCTTCGCTTTCATTCTGTATTTGCCCCCGGGTGGACGGGAGGCCTCGGGAGGGGGAAGGGGACATTGTGAATCTGTCAAGAAGCGCTTTATCCGGAGAAGCAAATTTTGCACGATGGGACTGCGACTTTGGCTTTGTATTGTTTACGTGTGTGTGTGGGGTTTTTTTGGTTGTCGCTGTTCTTTTTTTTTTCTGGAAAAGCTTTGCTTTCTTTCCACACTCAGCTCTCCCTCCTTACCCTTACTTCTATTTTTCGTCCTGGGATGGGGGAGAGAAACGTATGTCGATTTCTTGAATGAGACCAAACAAACAAAACAGAAACATACCTGTGTATTTTGTTGTGGATGAGACCGCACCAAACAGAAGGTACCCGTATCTCAGAGTCCAAGTGGCAGACGGACAATTCTGCTTCTTTCAAAGAGATTCTCTCAGATGCACCTTTAGAACTAACCAGCTGGATTGTTGGTTTTTTTTTTCTTTCTCTCTCTCTCTCTCTCTTTTTTTTTTTTTTAACACTCTGGAATACTTTAACAACTTGATGTTCCTGGGTGGCCTGAATCACATAAGAGAAGCATGGGAGCATAATGACCGAGTGTTCTAAACACACGCTTCCTTGGCCCAGCGTGCTTCGGTCTTCCCAGCTGCCTGTCTTCATCTGTCTGTGTCCACCCCTCCATGAGTGCATCCGGATCAGGTGTTTCAAAGCCAGCAGGACGGGCTACTCCCCTCCAGGATCCTCCTCTGATCCACCAAGGAAAGAGGCGTGTTGACACTCTCTGGGAGCACCTGGCGAGAAGCCACCTGGAAGTCACAGTGGTTACAGGTATTGGCAGAGGCACCCTGGGAGCAGTTTTGCAAAGCCTTCCTGTTTGGGCACCTTGTACAACAATAGTGTTAAGACTCGGCTGGGAGATGATGGGTGCAGGGTTCATAGGCCAAGGAAACGTTGCTAATCCCAAAGCAATCCAAGAAGAGACCTCACAGCGGACGTTAATTTGTCTTTTGTGTAACACTGTAACCAAAATATTGATGATAAAAAGTCATAATTTAAGATTCAGAATAAATGGGTTTGATGTCTGGCTTGCTCTAACGCCTTCCAATTGTCTCTCGACTCCTAAAATGTATGCAAGCGAAGGCCAAGGATGAAGGACTCGGGGAAGGGAAAATGCACACCGTACCTCTTGAAAACACACACTCCAATGCACACTCCCATGTGGAGATCTAGCCGTGGGTCTAGATGGAGACTGCACACTGAAATACATTTCTATTTATACATATGTATTTGTCACCCAGGAGGGTTTTGGGGAGAGATATTATGGGAACCAGACAGCTAATGCTTTATGGGCAGGCAGTCTGCTTTTATCACATAGAATTCTTGATGTGGTACAAGGTCCAATCCAGTATTGCAGTCAGAGGGCATGGGTCTAAAAGAAACTGACATTTCAATATGGCATCAGTTGTTTCTAAGATCGGTATGAACATGGGGAAACATTGGCTTCCATTTTCAAACAATAAATGCAGTGAGGATTAGAGAAATGAAAAAAGTATACTTTGATGAAGGCTCTACGTTTTCCTGGTCTTAGATGGACAGCATAATAGGATACTCAATAATCTAATTAATTTGAATTGAAATGCTATCACATTTTGTTAGGAAAAAAAAAAAAAATCAAGAAACATCAACCAAACATCATTTTGGGTATTTTGGCTCTGTGATTAGGAGACACGCTTCTAAGTACGGGCGTTGTTTATTAATGCTGATAACACCAACAGCTCGATGCTAGCGAATATTTTTCATCTGTGTCTTACTGCCTTTGGTGAGTTAGTCCTCTGGTCCCTCATTTTTTTCAACCTTCTGTTCAGTGGTCAGTTTCAAACAAGCAGCAAACTTCATTAGCGGATCATATCACCCTTTGGAGATTGAAAAATATATGAGTACTTGTTATTTTTATTGCTTACTAAAATGTAACGCATATATTTGTTTGTATTTACAGCTTTACTACATACAGGTTGTTATTTGGTTATGCTGTCTAATAAATAAGTTATTGAATCGATCAAGCTAAAAAGACGTATATTTCAGGAGTTTGTTTTATATTAGGAAAACAGCTTCATCCTGTTGATTCCACTCCTGTCATTTATTTATTTATTTACTTACTTATTTATTTCTGTTTTGAGCTGGATGCCAAACACTGCATTAGGGAGAAGCCATGACAATCGTGCTGCCGAAGTCATTTGTCACCCGCAGTCACAGCTGTGCGGGTTGTTTGGCTAAGGATCTTTGATGGAGGTGAAGTTCCTGTGTGTGGTCCATAAAAATATACATCATCAGAGCAAAATTTGAAATGTGTTTTCCTTTAATTGGGGAGGGAAGAGTGACATCTGGAATACACACCATCTGATCCGTGCTTCCCTGGCTCTGGGCCTCAGTTTCCCCATCTGTGGAGCCAGTTCAGGAACCCCCACACCTCCTGCCCAACTCACGAGGCTATCGTGAGATCACAGGGACACTCTGTGAGATCTACAGGACACTGTGGTGACCGGAGGCATTATGTGGCAGGGAGGGTGTTTCCAGAAAGTGAGATTTTTTCCAATATGCTATTTATTAAAAGTGTTTAAAATGAACATCTGACAGGAGGACACTTTTATGTGAAAGTAAGTTTCCATATTCCCCATGAGCTTGTTAAAATGGTAGCACTCCAGAAGTTTAATTTGATTTTTAAGAATGATGATAATATGACTATGTCAAAATCTATGCATTTTCATACTAACTCAATTCTGCATTATGTTCTTGCACTGTCCTATGTGGCTCAAGCCCACCTTTCTGCTCCAGCATGCGATATCCACATTTTACAAAAATATAAAACTAATATTTTTAACACGAGTAAAAATTGAGTTATCAACATTTTGGCATTATAATAGCGAGTGGGTCTAGCTGTCAAATGTTAATTGTACTAAAGTGTAAATGCCTTTAAAACGATACTATTTTTTAACTTAAAATTTATTCTAATTTGAAATATGACCCTGATTCAACTCTATGTCCTGAGAAACTGTATTTACTATCTATAATTCCTGAACCCTTTTTGCACCTTAATATTTTTTTTATTTATGTACTCATGCATAATGAAATTATTTACATTTTAAAAGTTTGTGATTACTAGGACTTCTTCGAGCAAAGGTCATAAAAGTCCATCAAATATTGGCAGGAAAACTCATGGAATCCTATAGAGATTAAATATTTACTTGTTTGGGAAAAAAAATGTTGTAATTTTTTTTTTTTTTTTTGGAAAATCTAGTTATATATATCAAGCATCAGAAGAGTTAAAAAAGATACACAAAAGCAAACCAAAACCTTTCCTGAATCCCTAATTTTATTTGTATTAATTGGTATCGTCACATACGCAGTAACATGTATATCATTTGCCCATAAATACACGAACAAATACATCTGATTTTTATCAGTGAATGAAATAAAATGCGTAGATTGGTCACATTCCCCTGGAATCTGGAACTAGGTGAGGGGAGACCTTGATGAATTCCTTTATACAAGCAAAACAAAAGCACGGGCTGCTTCAGCATGTCTCATAGGTAGCAAAAGGAGCAGAGAATAAGCTGTCAATTTGTGTGGTGGTTTTGTAATCTTTTATAAGGAAATGAATATTGCAATAAGATAATGTCAGCGTGAATAAGTAGTTAGTGCTTACATTCCTAAAGCATAGGAAGTATATAATAATCTAATGCACATGAATGAGAAGCTGTTACATTACATTGAAGGTGGTATAAATAAAAGTTAGAACTCACAGAGACAGGTGACATAGAATTATTGTAAAGGTTCGTCCGCGCACTCTGTAGAAACACTTGTAAAAAATGTAAAACTAGATTAACCATAGCACTACAGTGAGTTTTTCCGTTTTCCGTTGTTTACATAGGAATTTACTTGTCAAGGGGACTCACACTTTGCTACTAAAATAGGATATTGCAAATACATTTAACATGTAAGATCAAAGCCTGTAAGTTCTCATAAGACTCTTAAAATTAATTTTCTTGGCATTTAAAGAGCATGCACACCAAAGAGAGTGGAGAAAGGTAAGCTACAATTTCCATTTTGGTTTTATCATTTTACATTTTTTGTGCTCAGAATTTTTTTTTTTTTTTAAAGAAAACACTGTGAAGATGTTAACTGCTAATGGCCACGTACACTAATCAAGTACGTTTATGTATTTGCCTAGCCTTTTAAGACATAATTTTGTTTGCGGGAAGGTTTACTGCCTTTGAAGATGGAGAGCTAGGGGCGCCTGGGTGGTGCAGTCGGTTAAGCGTCCGACTTCAGCCAGGTCACGATCTCGCGGTCCGTGAGTTCGAGCCCCGCGTCGGGCTCTGGGCTGATGGCTCAGACCCTGGAGCCTGTTTCCGATTCTGTGTCTCCCTCTCTCTCTGCCCCTCCCCTGTTCATGCTCTGTCTCTCTCTGTCCCAAAAATAAATAAACGTTGAAAAAAAAAAAAAAAGATGGAGAGCTACAATTCATTCACCTTTAGATATTTTAAATGTCTATTTGTTACCTAGCTCTCCATGATGTGATTGGTCAGTCCAGTCCTCACCTTCCCTTCAAAAATAGAAGAAACATCTTTTCAAAATTCCTTTAAATTAGATCCAATGAATATCAAGTTTTAAAAAAAAAATACGTTTTTGTGTAATAATATTACACCAAAACATGAATTCTAAGTAAGTGAGCTTTCTTTCCATTCCCAAACCCAGTAGGGTAACTTGAAATTTGTGAGGGCAAAAGCCGTGTGGTTTTACCTCCCACAGATAATAGGAGCTCTGTTTTGTCCTCCTAAGTGGATTTTGCTGTGGATTTCCATCACCAGAATCACTTAAGTGTCTATAGCCTCATAAATCATCATCTTCAGCAACTCGCCCACATACACTCACTGTGTAGTGTAAATGAGCTCCTTGACAACTTAATTTGGAAAAGAAATCTTCATTCCCTCTTCTTAATGCCTCCAGCAGGAACCCCCCGGGGTTAGGACGCTGCTTTGCACTGGAGCCATCCTAACACAATGGAACCTACTTAGTAATGAGCCACCACCAGTTTTGCAGCCCGACTGGCTACGCCTTAACTTTTATTACTGCCCCCTCGTATTTTTCAGGAGTGCTAATTTCTCTTGTGGAATTTGTTCCAGGTGGCAAAAACAAAAACAAAAACAAACCCTGCCTGAGATGGAAAATGTGGAGAATGTTGGCAATGCACTGGGGATGTGGGACTGCTGAGTATTTTGCTTAAGTCTGTTTGCTCTTAATTTTTCGTCTTAAAATGCTTCCCTAAATTTCTTATGCTCTTTAAAGACCAGTAGGATATGGAGCATCCTCCCATCTCCTTGACTTTGTACTATCTATGAGCTTTTATTGTGACTCTGGGTACTTTGCTATGGAACTGACTTAAGAATAATATTTTAAATATAACCAAATTAACCAGAAAAATTGGCAAAGATTTCTTACTACTGAAATTCCTCATTTGCAATGTTTTTTGACGTGGTTTGTTTTTACAATGTTTTGCATGGATCATAAAGATTCCTAACAGCTTTCAAATTAACATTAAAATAAATACAAATATTGAATTAAAATCAATATTTATCTTTGAATTGCTAACATATCTTTTTTTTTTTTTTGCAATCATGTAACTATTAGGTCATAAGTGGTATACTTTTAGAGAGACGTCTATCACTGAAAAACAAATATAGGACATGAAAATGTGATACTTTCATTTTTTTTTCATATTCCCAAGCACCATGTAGGGACACTGTAGCATAGTTTTGTTCTGGAACTATAAACTTTCAGTGGAAAAAGCAGTTATGTCATTTATTAAAAAAATCCATTCTTTTGTGGTCAAGGTGTAGATGTTTCCTTTTCATTTCATAACATTTACATATTGCTCCTTAGGGGCTAGATAGCGTGCTTAGGGATGATGATAGAAAAATAAAGACACACATTGTGTGTGCCAAGAGTTTGCAGTCCTTGCTAAATATATAGCCTGGAGGATATCCAGGGTCAACTCATGGTGAGGGGTAGGCTGGGGTGAGCTTAGGAGGAACCTTAGAAATTTGAATGCGTGTTTACTAAAGTGAAAAACATTTTTCACACATGAAGTGGAGAATGCTATTTGGGTGTTGACATTGAATACACTGAACATCCATTAATCTTCCGACCAAAAGGCTCCCTGTGACCTCTCCTCCCACGCTGAATGTGGTTGGGTATTTGGCAGACATATGGCACACTAGGGCTCATGAGCCAACCTTGAATGTACTAAAGTGGAATGGGACAGATATGGGGAATTTCCATTGTTTTAACACATGAAGGTTAAGATATAATAGCCCTTTTTTACAGTTTTATTTCTGTTTGCCTTGTGTGGTGAGTTGCTGGAGAAGACAGAAGGCATGCTAGAATTAGTCAAACCCTTAGAAGATGGATCTAAATCAAGATACAAGTAAGGCATGATGTGAAGTCCATCACAAACAGAGCTGGATGGAGGACCTTATCTAGCATTTTGGCATATTTTACAAGCTATTAACCCAATGAATACATTGGGGCGTTACTCAATGTCTACCCTAAGACACAAAAAATAAACGTGAAATCAAATTGCACTGGTAGAAAACATGAATTATGTGTGTTTTATTAGCTAATCACAAATACATGTGTGTTTGTGAGTGTGCAAACATTGAATATAAACGAATAGGTGTAACCACAACTTACCTCTGTCAAAATGCTTCCCATGTGCCTCCAGCTGTGCCAGCACTGAACCCTTGCTATCAGGGAAGAGGGAGGTGATATGGACTTTGCTTTGTACATGGACTTACTTCTACTAACTCACCTCAATTCTTGGGTCTGTTTCATATTTTATTTCTTGTATTCAATCGTAGGCATCTATTTCTACAGAAGGTAGAAATTACATCTGGTCTCCCTGACAGACAGAGATTGAGAACTGTTGAGAATAATTAAGCCATCTGGTGCTATAAACCCAACAGAAAGCTATGATCAGTGGATCATGGTCTAATCTAG